TTTGGGTGGAAGGAGGATATCACTGCGCGCTTCGAGCAGGTGATGCGCCTTCCACACCTAGGACCGACCACCACCCTTCCTCCGTACTCTACAGTCGGGCCTAGCAAGGCTTGGTTGCTCCAGTTCACTGTAAGTAAATAAGTTGTTATTATCATACGTGCTTATTTGCGACCGGATCAGTGTTTTGTACTAACATTTCATTCTTAACTGTAGGCGGACCTTCTGCACCCTGACGCTGATGATTACTCGGTCCGACGCTCCCTTGAGGCGTACCTGTTGTGGTTGTTCGGGTGGGTGATGTTCACTAGCACCCACGGGCACGCTGTGGACTTCCGGCTGGTCCACTACGCACGGTCCATCGCGGATGCTCAGCCACAGGACGTGCCGCAGTGGAGCTGGGGTTCTGCCGTGCTAGCAGCCACGTACCGTGCCCTCTGTGAGGCGTGCACGAAGACTGACGCGGGAGCGATCATCGCTGGCTGTCCTATGTTGCTTCAGCTTTGGGCAGCCGAGAGGTTTGCCATAGGGCGACCAGTGGTGGACAGCGCACCCTACGGGGTTGGTCGCAGCGCGCAGTGGCCAGAGGACGGTCCCACGATGGGGACTTACTGGTGTCGACGTGGGGTTAGTGCAACTTCGCTGCGTTATAAGTTTATCAGTCCTCTTCTTTTTTTTTCCTTCACATAACATGTCTAATTCCGATCATGTTTATTGCAGCGTCGTTACGCTCACGTCCAGGTGAGACGTGGTTACCCGGACTTCGTGTTCGAGTTTGACCGTCTCCAGCCGAGCGACGTCATCTGGGAGCCGTACACAGAAGAGGCCGTCGCTGCGAGAGCACCGCTAGGACTTTCGTCCTTGTGCACACGCGACCAGGCTTACTGGCTCACCATCCTGCCGATGGTGTTCGACATTTTCGTTGAGCCTCACTGGCCGCAGCGTGTGATGAGACAGTTCGGACTTAGGCAGGTGTTTCCCGGCAACGTGCAGCCGACCGTCCCCCCTGCCGACCACTCGTGAGTTCGGATTGTTCATTTCTAAATTTTTATGATAATTACATCATCGAGCCATACAATTTACCTCTCTTCACAGGTTGACTCGACGGGGACAGCTAGCAGGCGCACTTTGGGCTCCACGTGTACAGCAGTACGTTGACGACTGGGTGTTAGCTACAGAGGAGGTGATCAACGAGCTCTTCCCACACACGGAGGAGAACTACCGTGACTACCTTCGCTGGTACCTTCCTCGCACTCGTGCGCGTGTGACCTTCACTCCAGACGCCCCAGAGCCGCACGTTGCCGCTGTCACGGACGCGTATCCCACGCACCGTGACCGAGACTACTTCGTGGCGGTACGTCCAATTTGTATTACTTCCAACAATTATGTCATTTATCTTGCATAATATAGGACAACTACTGAATTTTTTATTTCCATCTTGCATAGGCTGATGCGGCACGGGATATCAGTGCCGATATCACCGCAGTCCAGGTGAGGTTGAACAGAGGTTTGCACTTGACTGACGTTGAGCAGAGGTCGACCTTCGACCGGATGCAGGAGAAGATGCGTGCGGTCATGCGCGTCTTCTCCTGTCGCAGCGCCGTGGACGTCGTACCTCCAGCTGGTCCGGTACACCCACGGCCTCGCGGTCCTACCGTCGGAGCAGGACCTCGTTTGTCTTCGAGCGCCCCTAGCTTCGGAGCAGTGCGACCTACAGCACCGGTTTCGCACGGTACAGTTCAGCCCAGATATTAGTTCATTTTTGTTTCAGCTTTTGCACGAATGTGTCACCATGTTTTAACTGCACGTTTCCTCATCGCAGGACCTCGTATGCCTTCGAGCGCGTTCGCAGGCACGACCGGCGCTTCCGCGAGCTCCGCAGGGGCGTTCGCCACCTCTTCAGGCGCGTTCGCCAGCTCTTCCTCTCACGGAGCGTCGATCCCTCGCCCACACGGTACTTTACTTTTTATTAATACTGTTAAATACCTATACGAAACTGATGGTCCTTGTCCAGCAGGATTTGCAGCCGGGATCTTCGGTACTGGGGCCTCTTCGTCTCACGCCGGTAGGACTGGTCCTACTAGCCAGTTCTACGACGACGACTTGCACGGTGCAGACCACCAGGACGTACTAGGCTCCTCTCAGCTTGGAGGAGCTCCAGAGGCGCACACTCAGGAGCAGCCAGAGGTCACACCTGTACAGGCAGGACGGGTTGGCCGTGCCGTACCCCCGGACCGACTCACGTACTCCCAGGGGCACATTAGGGCGCAGGGTAGGAGGGACAGGGGTAAGAGGCCTCGTCAGTAGTGTTCTACCTCTTCAGTCCTTATGTGACCGTTTCTTTTGGCTTACAAACTTGTAAAGCAGTACTACTTTTGCTATTACTACTGCAGTACTACTTGTGTTTGTCTCGTCTACGTAGTTCTTTTCATTCGTATGGTGCTTGAACAACTTATGCTCACAACAACACACTTTCGGCGCTTCACGGTAGTGCCATATCCAGTAGCGCGCACAGTCCACAACAGCACACATGAAAAGCGGCAGCTCGAGTTATCACTATCAACTTTCGGCGCTGCCTGTTGACATAAAGTGAATCACGCCCACGCGTGATCGTCTTGTCACATCTAATGAATAATGTATCTCATTGAGTTCACATATATTGCAGTGAAAACGACGCTATATAATTGACAATCTGAAGGCAACCTCTTCATATCTTCTTTCCCACTACCACACCACACACGAAAATGGAAGCCTATTAATTGGTAATACGTAATCTAGAATTGAGATTATGTACAACATTCTTCACTACAATTTTACATTTTGGCAGCAAACCAAATATGATCAAATGCAATTTTACCTTACCAAATATTTGGTAGTGCCAAAACTTGCTTATATTTTGGCATTAACAAAATATTTGTACGGTAACATTCCAAATATGCCCTAAAAAATAATAAAATTGTATTTTACCAATCTTGGAGATTTTAATCTTGTATAGTTTTCAATATAAAAAGATTTGATAACTATTGATATTTATATAAAAAAAATATAGAGCACAGTACAAAATCGCCCTCCCCCAGGGCGGCAAGGGGGCCGCCTGCAAAATTCCATGCCCCCTCGCCGCCCATTTGCAGGCGGGCCCCCGCACAGTGCAAAATCGCCCTCGCGGAGGGCGGCAAGGGGGCCGCCTGCAAATTTCCATGCCCCCCCTCGCCGCCCATTTGCAGGCGGCCCCCCGCACAGTACAAAATCGCCCTCGCGGAGGGCGGCAAGGGGGCCGCCTGCAAATTTCGTTGACGGCCGTCGCCCGAGAGCGAACGGCCGTCTGCCACGTCATTTTCGCCGCCCTCTGGGAGGGCGATTTTTAAAAATCGCCCTCCCAGAGGGCGGTAGGCGACTATTTCCGTCAATTTTCAAAATGGAAAATTATTTTTGTAAAACTTTTAATAAAAAAAATTATAAATAAAAAAAATTCGGGATCTTCGGCCAGTGAGTAGCCGCTTTTGGTACTCTCCAACCTCTGTATAGTCGATGCTTATGTGCTGCTTGATGGCTGTGCTGTGATCGTGATAATAATCCGTAGCTTTCTACTAGATAGGAATGTGCATGCATATCATTCGTTTATGACTCTTATGCAAAATATCAAGTTTTCTTCATGCTTGTTGGCTGTTTGATTTGATTAGCAGTGTGAAGCTGACAGTCTTCCGATGGGGATATCATTAGGATCGATTCATTTATCTCCATTATTAAGGAAACTAGATGATTCCCCGCGTTTTACTGTAGAAATTACTAAATAATTTTTATTTTTTTAATAATTAAGCTAAAAGTAAAAATTATTTTAGGTGTTAACAACAAATAAAACTGGTTTGTCACACTATGGCTGCGTTCTTTCAAAGGACATTGGGGAGAGATTGGGGAGATTGTGACTCGTTTTCCGCGCGCACGTTTCCCAAACTACTAAACGTTGTATTTTTTGCAAAAAAAAAATTATAGAAAAATTGTTTTAAAAAATCATATTAGTCCATTTTTGAAATTTAAAATAGTTAATACTCAATTAATCATGCGCTAATGGCTCACCTCGTTTTGCGTATCTCTCCAATCTTCTTTATCCCCCTCTCTCAAACTCAGCCTATGTTAAGAGAGAATAAATTTAGTAGAGTCTGTATGAGACTCTAGATGAAATATGATATCCCGCACTGTGATTATATGATTATATGGATAAATATATGGTAAGTATTAAAAATGGTGGATATATATGTTAAAAATATTGTGAAAAATAATGTGAAGGAAGATGATTGATTGTTGATTTGTAGAATTCAATGAATTATATATGATGTTGCATGCTTACATAAGTTTTGTATATAATTATTGCCAGTGGATGGTGAGCTGACATGTTTACATGTTGAATTTTAGAATTAGTGGGTTATAACTTTACAGTAAGATAGGATGTGTACTGTTCTTTCACGCACTCCATCCATAAAAAATATTTTACATCAGGAATTTTATCTGCTCAATATTTGCTGGAAGAAACATTTGAAGATATATGGCTATTCGAGATTTAGTCTTACTGATTTTTGGTAAAAAAAAAGTGTCGGATGTGATTTGGAAAAGAAACCAAAGGTCCGCTTAGATTGTAGCCAAAATAAACCTTACCAAATTTTAGCAATGGTAATATTGGCAAAATTTTGGCAGTATTTTTTATATATTTACTAAATTTGACAACAAATCAAATGTAGATATTTTTTTTGGTAATTTTACAAAAAATTATATGGTTGAAAATGATTCAAAGTGAACAGCCCCAAACCTTACTGATTTTTGGTAAAAATGCAATCCGACGCGGACTGTGTTACACACAAGGCAAAATCCTTATTCAGATACTTGCATAAACGTGCCCGTGGACCGCCCGCGAACTCGCAGCTCCACGAACAAGCGAAAATCCCCTCCCCCTGGAGGTCTTTTTCCGTGTACCATTAAAAAAGATGGTGGCTGCCTCTGTGCCACTAAAAAGTTCGATCATCCTCTGTGCCTCCGTCTATGCTATCGTCGAACTTTATCGTGCCCTCCACACCATTCCGTCGCTATTCTATATAGCTTTAACCGTTTGGCAGCTCTGACATGTGGGTCTGGATAGGAAAAATGTCGCTCTTGCCCTTTGCAGTCTCTGCTTTGTTTCAGAGAGAGGCCAGGCGGCACCGGTGGACAAGCGGCCAGGCGTGGCGTGGCGGCAAGGCGGCGAGGCGGCGCCGGCAAGGCCGCCGACCTCGCCTACTGGGAGAGCGCGGCGAGGATGATCGCCGACTCGTCACGCTCCAGCAAGGTCGTCGTCGAGAAGTCCACCGTCCCCGTCAAGACGGCCGAGGCCATAGAGAAGATCCTCGCGCACAACGCCCATGTCGTCGAGTTCCAGGTGCTCTCCAACCTGGAGTTCCTGGCGGAGGGCACGGCCGTCGCTGACCTGCGTTCTCATCGGTGGCCGCGACATCGCCGCCGTGCAGGCGCTGAAGGACGTGTACGCGCAATGGGTCCCCGTCGACCGGATCATCACCACCAACCTCTGGTCGGCGGAGCTGTCCAAGCTCGCCGTGAACGCGTTCTTGGTGCAGAGGGTGTCATCGGTGAACGCCATCTCCGCGCTCTGCGAGGCCACCGGCACCGACGTCATGGAGGTGGCGACCGGCGCTGCGCAGCGGCTGGGCGCAGGTTCAACTGCGGCGGCCGACGCTACCTCCTGCGCGGCGACAGCTTCGGTTGGAACGGCTCGACGGCGATGCGGAGCTCCGGGAGAATGGCGACAGCTCAAACGTCTCCAAGATCTAGCATGCATGTGTGTCCACGAGGTTAGTGAGGCCACAGGGATGGTGTGTGCGCGAGGAATTGTACAGTGGCTCACCGGAGGAGGCGGAATCGACGTTTGACGCCGGCGGCCGGAGTTGGAGAAGATGATGCCGTTCTCCGTCCATGGTGCATCAATCTTGGGGGTTCTTGAGGGGTTTTGGTCGTGGTGATGAGACGACGATGGTGGCGCGGCAGCTCAACTTGGCGTGGTGCAGATCGACGGGGAGGAAGATGATGTCGTGGCGGCGTCGCTCCGGTGCGCGTTCCAGAGCGCCGTGGGCACGACGGCGTTCCAGAGATTACCTGTTGCCCCTGAATTTGAACCAGGTCTCGGCGCATTGCTTATGGGCGCAGGAGAGGTCGTCCTTGCAGGAGCAGTCGAGGAACATGCCGGAGCCGGACTCGGCGGCGGCGCTGTCGAGGCCGAGGTAGCAGATGCGGCAATTCCTCTCGGACGTGTCCGGGCTGGCCTTGGCGATCGTCACCACTCACCACCTGCTCGTTGTCGTTCACCATTGCTCACGCCAAACAAACCTACCAAAAAAACAATTCGAGAAAAAGGAAAATAATCACTCGAAATTGCTTCTATACCAAATCCGGACAAGAGCAAAGAAGGGAGCAAACTTGTTCAAAGGGTAACAAAGTCATTTTGCTGCACCGTTACCCACCGTTAGGAAAAAAACGGACGGAGTGGTGTGGAGGACGCGATAAAGTTCGACGATGGTATAGAGGGAGGCTCGAACTTTTTAGTGACACAGAGACAGCCACCATCTTTTTTAATGGCACACGGGGAAAGACCTCCCCCTGCAAATCCCTCGCCGCCCCTCCCATTCCTCTCCGTGCCTCCGCCCCTTCCAATCCGTCGCTGCCTCTCGCGCTCCGCCCGGTCCGCCAGCCAGCGACGATCAAGATCCATCCGATGGTACTGAGGAGCCAACCCCTCGACGCTACCGCCGACTTAAGAGGGCTACCGATGTCTCCACAGTCGTCCCCATCGCCGTTGCCCCCTCGACCTTCAAGTAGGTATCCCTTCTCCCCCGTCCTACTGTTACAGTATCCTTTTTTCTTTTTTTAATCTTAGACAGAAGGCAGCATGCTAACCCGGCTTTTGATTGAAAGCTCATACAGTTATATTGTTGAAGAAAAAAATGCATTTTTTTACTGGTCTGTACTTTGTAGGATTAGAGTGTTTAATAATGGTCGACTAGTTTAGCACCCCTTTATTTTGGATTGCACCATCAGATGGCGGCCTCAAGATGATTGATGAAACAATACTTTGTTGTTTCTTGTAGAAATGCAGCTCACTGTGTTCATTTTACTGTAGAAAGTCTTAATTTAGTCTAAAAATTCGGTCGCTTAAACCTTTCTGTCAAGATCTTGCCTGATGGAGAACAGGAGAACAATGCAGTAGAACTGGAGATAGCAGCAGAGCAGGAGATAGAAGAGACTTCAAGCGCTACAGCAAAGAAGCCCATTCGAGCTCGTGTTCCTAACCCTCGCTATAGTGGGCCAATGTGGGCCAAGTAACATCTTTCTTGTAATAGGGGAAAGAATTCGCCAGCTGTAATACTGTTTGGCTGTAAGAGAGAGAGAGAGAGAGAGAGAAGGGATACGGTATAAAACACTCAATGTATCCGTGACTCGAATCATCGATGAATTGAATTGGTGGCGGCTTGGCGGCGGCGGCGCTCGATCCGGTTGGGTCGAGTCGACGATAACCTATCTGTTCTTGTGATCTGTGAGAGGAATTGACAAAACTTGGTATCAGAGCCTACTATCCCACCCAATTCTTGATCCGGCAGCAAAAGGGTTCCGATTGGGGATTGGAGATCGGCTCTTGCAGCTGAAATCCGCGAAAAGGTAACTTGCCCCTCTCGGTTTGCTGGATTAGGAACAGGGGAAGTGGATCCCGTTGCGTCAAACTAGAAAAGCCAAGGTATCAAACCAAGCAAGCGTTCAAAATCATGGAGAACGAGGCCAAGCTGGATCTGATCCTGAAGAAGCTGACCGAGACGGACTCCAAGTTGGTGGATCTGGAGAAGAACTCCCGCGCGGATATGCTGAACCTCAAGACATCAGTGGATTCGTGGAAGCCACAGCTCGAGAAGAAGGTGACTGATCTGGCGACCACCGTTGGAAATCTGCAGCTTCAGTTCGATCAGCTTCAACTCCTGAACAAGGCGGAGCCGAAGCCTGACCTTACCGCCCAATTGGGCGCCCGCAATGCTGCTGAAATACGGGCGGAGGTGCTTGGGTCTCATCCCCAATCACCACCCCCGGCCAATGGTACGAACTCAATCTTGTTCTCCACACCTGCTCCTTATTTCCATGATCCAGCCATGCGAACTGCTTTTACTGGTAGTGCTGTGGGCACAAGCACTGGTTTACCTCCTATGCCATGTCCACAATTTGATGGAGATAACCCCCAAATGTGGAGAGAAAACTGTGAAGCCTACTTTGATACTTATGGAGTCAGCCCTGCTCATTGGGTTAGGATAGCCACCCTCAATTTTTCTGGGAATGCCTCATTTTGGTTGCAGTCAGTTAGGTCCCAATTAATAGGAGTCACTTGGGTAGAACTTTGTGAGAAAGTTTGTGCTAAGTTTTCTAGGGATAGGCATCAACAGCTGATAAGGCAATACATACACATTAGACAGACTGGTAGTGTAACTGAATATGTGGATAAGTTTGATAGCTTGATGCACCAATTGATTGCTTACGATAGTGAACTGAAGCCTGTGTACTTCGTCACTAAGTTCGTAGAGGGTTTAAAGGATGCTATTCACACTGTAATTATGGTGCAACGCCCCCAAGATCTGGATACTGCTTGCTCTTTGGCTTTATTACAGGAGGAGGCAATGCTGGGAACTCGAAGGTTGGAGTTCTCTACTCCAGTGAAGTCCAATTTCAGGAACACTGCTCAAGTTTCTTTGACACCTCTACCAGTGAGACCTGTTGTGAATGAGGATAAGAAAACCCCTGAAGCAGCTAAGATTACTCCCAGAGATGATAGATTGTCCTCACTTAAGGCTTACAGAAAATCTAAGGGGCTGTGTTTCACTTGTGGTGAAAGGTGGGGAAGGGACCACAAATGTGCCTCAACAGTACAGTTACATGTCATGGAAGAGCTTTTAGAAGCTTTGCAAGAAGATGATGACCCAGTTGGTGATGATATTGTGGCTGAAGCTGAGGGCACTCTTATGGCAGTTTCAAGTCAGGCAATAGCTGGAGTGGAATCTTCAAAGTCTATTAGGGTGAGAGGTTGGGTTCAGGGCTTGGAACTCTTAATGCTTGTTGATAGTGGAAGTACTCACTCCTTCATTGATGAGCAAGTGGCTAGAAAGCTGGCAGGAATTCAGACCTTATCACATCCAGTGCAGATTAAGATTGCTGACGGTGGAACCATGCAGTGTGATAGAAGCATACCTAACTGCAACTGGTGGATACAAGGTTGCTCTTTCAGAACTGAATTCAGAGTTCTACTGTCAAGGGCGTTGATCCCTAGGGTAGCTGGCCCCTGGCTACGGAGTTCGTAGCCACGGTCCGTCTTCTCCGGCGAGGTTTGCCCCTCCGCCGCAGGCTTGAGAGTTACGAGAGAAGGGAAGAATTGGGACAATAACCAAATTGCTTAATTTCTGGAATGTGCCGATTACAGAGATATATGGCCTAAGGCCCAACTAACCAAAGAGCTAATTGCTCCTAAATGCAAGGGCTAATAACAGGAAACTAATTATCCTTTCCATCCTAGCCACTGACCGTGGCCTGATCTGCCGCAGCCGCGCGTTCTGCCTCTGCGCGCGCCGCGCGTTCCGCAGCTCGGCGAACGTCTCGCGCTCTGCGGCGTCGCACATATGTGCGCCCCCACATGACATCTCCCCCTCCGTCGAGAGGCAGCTCGTCCTCGAGCTGTAGAGCAGGGTAGCGGGCGAAGAATGGCTCCCTGTCCTCCCAGGTAGCAGACGCCGCTGAAGTGCCCTTCCACTGGACCAGAACTTGGCGCACCCCACGGGCCAAGCGGGCTTTGATGACTCGCTCGGGCTCACAGGCCACCGCGCCGTGGTGCACGTTCGGCAGCGGCGGGGGAGCGTCTGGAGGCGCGCCGTGCCACTTCTTGAGCAGCCCGATGTGGAACACGTCGTGAAGGCGGGCGCCGGCCGGCAATGCCAAGCGAGCAGCCACCTCGTTGATCATCTCCGCGATGCGGTAGGGCCCGAAATACCGCGGCTTCAGCTTGCCGGAGACTGCCAGCGACAGGGACGCTGGGGCGCGCTGGCGGAGACGCAGAAGGACCCAGTCCCCAACCTGAAACGACACTGCACGATGGGACTTGTCGTAGTACTTCTTCTGGATGGCCTGAGCTTGTTCCAGGCGGTAGCGAATGTCCTCCAGGAACTCTGAGCGCTCCTCCATGCTTTTGGCCACAGCTGCCACGCGGGTGTCCCCCGGTTCATACGACCGGATGGAGGGAGGGTCGCGGCCATAGACCACCCGGAACGGGGTATCCCGCAGCGAGGTCTGGTAGGCGGTGTTGAAGACAAATTCCGCCCACGGGAGCCAGCGCAGCCACTGCCGGGGGCGATCACCAGTAAGGCACCGCAGGTACATGATGATGACACGGTTGGCTGCCTCCGACTGGCCGTCGGACTGAGGGTGGAAGGCCGTCGTCATGTGGAGCTTCGTACCCACCAGACGCATCAGCTCGCTCCAGAACGCGGACGTGAAGACCGGGTCGCGATCCGACACCATGGATTGTGGAACGCCATGGAGACGGACGATCTCGGCGAAGAAGACTTGAGCGACGGATTCCGCCGAGTATGGGTGCGCCAAAGGGATGAAGTGGCAGTACTTGCTGAATCTGTCCACCACAGTCAGTATGACGGACTTGCCGCGAACACGGGGCAGCGCTTCGACAAAGTCCAGTGCGACGTCAGTCCACACTCCTTGTGGCACCGGCAGTGGAAGGAGAAGACCGGCAGGCTGGAGGTGCTCGGCCTTGTAGCGCTGACAGACCTCGCAGGTCCGCACAAAATCCTGCACAACGCTCTTCATGTTAGGAAAGTGGAAATCCCGGCGGAGTCGGTGGAGAGTGCGCTGGACGCCTTCATGTCCCTCCTCATGGACAGCGCGCAGGACCTCCTGGAGCAGGGGCGACGCTGGGGGCAGGTACAGGCGGCCAGCGAACAGGACCATGCCGTCGGCCATGGACCACGGCCCTGCGCGTGTGCCGGAGCGGATCTCCGCCTGTAGCGCCACCAGCGCCGGGTCGACGTCCTGTGCTTGGCGAAGCCGCTCGATGAAGTCGAACCGTGGCGCAGACAGCACCAAGACAGAAGCGTCCTCGGTGGTGTCGCGACGAGACAGCGCGTCCGCCACAGTATTTGCTGCGCCCGGCTTGTACTCCACCGTGAAGTCGAAGCCCAGCAGTTTGCCCACCCAATGGTGCTGGGGAATGGTGGACAGCCGCTGATCCAGAAGATATTTCAGGCTGTAGTGGTCGGTCTTGACGGTGAAGTGCCGGCCCCAAAGATACGGCCTCCAATGCCGGACGGCCAGCACCAAGCCGATGAGCTCGCGCTCGTACGCAGCGAGGGCGCGGTGACGTGGCGCCACAGGACGGCTGAAGAAGGCGAGCGGATGGCCGTCTTGAATGAGGACCGCGCCAAAGCCGTGGGAGGAGGCGTCGCACTCCACGGTGAAGGCCTTGGTGAAGTCCGGCATGGCGAGGATCGGCGCCGAGGAGACCGCGGCTTTGAGGGCGTCGAACGCCGCCGTGGCTGCCTCGGTCCAGGCGAATCCTTCCTTCTTGAGCAGGGCGGTGAGGGGCGCAGCGATGGTGCCGTAGTTGTGGACGAATTTGCGGTAGTACCCCGCCAAGCCGAGGAAGCCGCGCACCGCACGCGCCGAGCGTGGCTGAGGCCACTCCCGAATGGCCTGGACCTTCGCCGGGTCCATGGCAACACCAGCAGCCGAGATAACGTGGCCAAGGTATGCCACGGAGTCGACGCCAAAGGCACACTTGCTGCGCTTGATGAAGAGTTTGTGCTCCCTGAGCACCGTCAGCACAGCCCGGAGGTGACGGAGATGATCAGCCCATGTGTCACTGTAGATCAAAATATCATCAAAAAACACAAGGACAAAGCGGCGCAAGAAGGAGCGGAGCACATCGTTCATGAGGGCTTGGAATGTCGCCGGGGCGTTGCAAAGCCCGAACGGCATGACCAAGAACTCATACAGCCCGTCGTGGGTGCGGAACGCCGTCTTGTGGATATCTTCGGGCCGCATGCGCACTTGGTGATAGCCGGACCGCAGGTCGAGCTTGGAGAAGAAGCGCGCGCCATGGAGCTCGTCCAGAAGCTCGTCGACGACGGGGATCGGAAAAGCGTCCTTGACGGTAAGCGCATTTAGCGCTCTGTAGTCGACGCAGAAGCGCCACGAACTGTCCGCCTTCTTGACGAGGAGGACCGGCGACGAGAACGCCGAGTCGCTGCGGCGGACGATGCCTTGGGAGATCATGGCGGCGCATTGCCGCTCGAGCTCATCTTTATGAGCCGCCGGGTAACGGTAGGGCCGGACAGCCACCGGCGACGTGCCCTGCTTGAGGACGATGGCGTGGTCACGGCCGCGCTGTGGAGGCAGGCCTGTGGGCTCGGTGAAGACGTCGGCGAAGGAGTCGAGGAGCCCCCCCAATAGGGAGTCGTCTGCGCTGGCCGCGCGGACTGCCGGCCCGTCCTGGTTTGGCGCGCCCTGCCAGCAGATGGTACGGCCCTCCAGGTCGAACGTCAGGGCGCGTGTGGTGACATCCCAGGACATCCGGCCCAGCTTGGCCATCCACTGGGTGCCGAGGACGATGTCATATCCGGCGAGAGGCATGACGTACAAGTCGACGTGGAACGGCATGCCCTCGATGGTGATGGGTGCGTGGCGGAGGACGCCTGGGCAGGCCACCTTTTCGCCGTTGGCGACCGTGGCCGTCATCCGTGGCCGCGGCTGGACGGATAGCCCGGTGCGAGCGGCCGCCGACTCGCCGATGAAGTTGTGGGTCGACCCTGTATCAACCAAGGCGACGAGCGTGGTCGCGCCCAGCTGAACCCGGAGCAGGATCGGGTGTCCCACGGCGACGCCGGCCACGGCATGGAGAGAAAACACCGGTGCCTCCGCGTCGACCTCGTCCTCCGGCGCTTCCTCGTCCTCGTCCTCCACGCTGTCCACAAAGAACAGACGTTTGCAAACCTTGTTGTGGCCGCGACTGTACTTTTCGTCGCAGTTGAAGCACAAGCCGAGGCGGCGACGTTCCTCCTGTTCGGCCTGGTTCAGGCGCCTGACCGGCCGGTTATCAGCAGCGGTGGCGGCGGGCGGCGCGGGCTTGGCAGCCCCAGCTGGAGCCGGCAAGGCGAGTTGCGGCCGAGGCGCAGGTGCCGGCAGGACACCCCGACCAGGAGCTTTGGCGGGAACGGCGGTGTACTGCTCGATCAGCTCGAACTGGCGGGCGAGGCTCATGGCAGCCGCCAGCGACTGGGGATTCTGCATCTGGACTTGGAGGCTGAGCGGAGGAAGAAGGCCTCCGGTGAACAGCTGCACTCGCTGTTCTTCGTCGAGGCGACCGGCGCGGGGGAGCAGGGCCTGGAACCGGTCCTGGTAGTCCTCCACTGTACCCGTGCGGCGACAGGAGGACAGCTCGAACAGGGGAGCGGACCGCAGAGGTGGCCCGTAGCGGAGATTGAGGAGCTCCTTGAAGCGAGTCCACGTCGGCGTGCCGCGCTCGTCTTCTTGGACCTGCATGTACCAAAGTTGGGCGCCCTCGAGGAGGTTGTGGGAGGCCATCCAAACCTTCTCCTCTTGCATGATTCGCTGTTGCAGGAAGAAGGATTCGCAGCGGTTGATGAAGATTAGCGGGTCGCTCTTGCCGTCGTAGTGCGGGAAGTCGGGTCGCCAGTGCTTGGGCGGCCGGTCTGGCGGCTGATCGCCAAAGCCGGGGCGGGCGCCGGACGTAGATGAACTGGTGGTGGTGGCGAGCGCAGCGATCGCCTTGGCGTTGGCCGCGATGGAGGCGGCGTTGGCCTTGATCGACTCGTGCATCAGCGCCATGTCCTTGGAGAGGGCCTCGATGGAGGCCTTGAGGTCGTCACCCATGTGGTGGGCCGAGCAGGACGCGACTGAGGGTGAGGACGCAGGGGAGGCGGCGGCAGCAGGTGGGAAATTGGGCGGAGCGACAGCAGGGGCGGCGGCTGGAGTGGTGGTGGAGTCGTAGATGGGATCGGTGGTGGCTGGGGCAGAGGTGGAGTCGGCAACGGAAGACGAAGATCGACGTGACCGCGATACCAGGTTGTCAAGGGCGTTGATCCCTAGGGTAGCTGGCCCCTGGCTACGGAGTTCGTAGCCACGGTCCGTCTTCTCCGGCGAGGTTTGCCCCTCCGCCGCAGGCTTGAGAGTTACGAGAGAAGGGAAGAATTGGGACAATAACCAAATTGCTTAATTTCTGGAATGTGCCGATTACAGAGATATATGGCCTAAGGCCCAACTAACCAAAGAGCTAATTGCTCCTAAATGCAAGGGCTAATAACAGGAAACTAATTATCCTTTCCATCCTAGCCACTGACCGTGGCCTGATCTGCCGCAGCCGCGCGTTCTGCCTCTGCGCGCGCCGCGCGTTCCGCAGCTCGGCGAACGTCTCGCGCTCTGCGGCGTCGCACATACGTGCGCCCCCACATGACATCTACAATTGGGAGGGTACGATGCTATCCTGGGGATGGACTGGCTTGAACAGTTCAGCCCTATGAAGGTGGATTGGGTGCAGAAATGGCTCGAATTTCCTCTGGCAAGAAGGTTGATCAGAATTGAGGGTATCTAGCCTCAAACTGACCACTACCCTCAGATTACTTCTCTGCAGATCAAAGGGCTTATGAAGACTGAGTCAGTAATGCATGTACTACAGATTCAGAAGACTGACCAGACATCTGATGTAGTGATTCCTGATTCAATCAAGCATGTATTGGACAGGTTTCAGGAAGTGTTCCAAGAACCCACAGAAATGCCACCCGTAAGGAATTGTGATCACAAGATTCCCTTGATGGAAGGAGCAAGTCCAGTCAACCTCAGACCCTATAGGCATACCCCAGCACTCAAGGATGAAATTGAGCGTCAAGTAACTGAAATGCTTCAGTCTGGAGTCATACAAAACAGCAATAGTGCTTTTTCATCACCAGCACTGCTAGTCAAAAAGAAAGATGGCACCTGGAGACTTTGCATAGACTATAAGCACCTGAATGCAATTACAATTAAGGGAAAATACCCTTTGCCTGTCATTGATGAGCTTCTGGATGAGCTTTCTGGAGCTAAGTATTTCTCTAAACTCGATTTAAGGGCAGGTTATCACCAGATAAGGCTGCAACCTGGAGAGGAGCACAAGACAGCCTTCCAGACTCACTCAGGCCACTATGAGTATCGAGTGATGTCCTTTGGGTTGACTGGAGCACCAGCTACTTTTCAGAAGGCAATGAATGATACCCTAGCGACAGTGCTAAGAAAATTTACATTGGTTTTCTTTGATGACATTCTAATCTATAGCCCTGATCTACCATCGCATATTCAGCATTTAGAACAAGTTTTGCAACTACTTCAAGCTCAACAATGGAAAGTCAAGTTGAGTAAATGTTCCTTTGCACAACAACAACTGGCTTACCTAGGCCATATCATTGGCAAGGATGGAGTAACCACTGATCCTTCTAAGATTGCTGATGTGCTGCATTGGAAAATTCCTCAGTCAGTCAAGCAGTTGAGGGGCTTCCTAGGTTTGGCAGGATATTACAGGAAGTTTGTGAGAAACTTTGGAACTATCAACAAACCACTCACCCAGCTGCTTAAGAAAGGGGTGCCCTTTAAATGGACAGCACAAATGGATGAAGCTTTCAATGCCTTGAAGCAAGCTTTGGTTAGTGCCCCAGTTTTGGCACTGCCTGACTTCTCAAAAACTTTCACTGTGGAAACAGATGCCTGTGATATGGGAATAGGGGCAGTTTTGTCACAGGACAGGCACCCTATTGCCTTTGTTAGCAAAGCATTAGGTCCAAAAACCAGGGGGCTGTCTACATATGAGAAGGAATACCTGGCTATCCTATTGGCAGTCGATCAGTGGAGATCATATTTGCAGCATGATGAGTTTGTCATACTCACAGATCACCACAATCTAATGCATATCACTGACCAAAGATTACATACTCCGTTGCAACATAAGGCTTTCACTAAGTTGATGGGACTGCAGTATAAGGTTTGTTATCGAAGGGGAACCTCTAATGCAGCTGCAGATGCATTATCAAGAAGGGATGAAGAGACAAATGATCAATTGTGGGCTGTATCCGAATGCCAACCCCTTTGGTTAACAGCAGTGGTAAAAGGGTATGAAACTGATGAGCAGGCTCAGCAACTCTTAACTGAATTGGCATTGCATCCTACTGCCAGGGAACATTTTCATTTAGTGCAAGGGGTATTGCGGTACAAGGGTAAAATTTGGATTGGGCATAATTTATCCTTACAGCAACAGCTAGTCACTGCCTTGCATGCCAGCCCTATAGGTGGACATTCTGGTTTCCCAGTAACTTATCAGCGAGTAAAAGCACTGTTTGCTTGGCCACAGATGAAGAAAATGATTCAGCAGTGGGTAAAGAATTGTACTATCTGTCAGCAAGCGAAACCAGACCTAGCTAAATATCCAGGACTGCTGCAACCCTTGCCGATTCCAGAAGGTGCCTGGCAAGTGGTCTCATTGGATTTTATTGAGGGATTGCCAAAATCAGAGAGATACAATTGCATACTAGTGGTGGTTGACAAATTCTCCAGGTATGCCCACTTTGTTCCTCTGTCACACCCATTCTCAGCCCTAGATGTTGCAGTGTCATATATGAAGAACATCTACAAACTTCATGGGATGCCTAAAGTACTGATCTCTGATAGAGACAAAATTTTTACTAGCAAATTGTGGGAATTTCTTTTCTTGAAATCTGGCATTGCCCTGCACCTTAGTTCTGCTTATCACCCACAGTCCGATGGGCAAACTAAGAGGGTTAACCAGTGTTTGGAAATGTTTCTCCGTTGTTTCACTAATGCAGCCCCTTTTAAGTGGGTTACTTGGTTACATTTAGCAGGGTATTGGTATAATACTTGCTTTCATTCTGCTTTGAACAAGACACCATTCGAAGTACTCTATGGCCATAACCCTCTTCAGTTGGGTGTTACTATGGAAACTTGTGCGATTCCCGATCTGGCTGTTTGGCTTCATGAGAGGAAACTGATGGCAGAATTGCTGCAACAGCATTTGCACCGAGTACAACAAAAGATGAAGTTTCATGCTGATAAGAACAGGTCATTCAGAGAATTTGCAGTAGGGGACTGGGTATTTCTTAAGCTGCAACCATACGTTCAGAAGTCTGTTGCATCTCGAGCTTGTCATAAGCTGGCTTTCAAGTTCTATGGCCCCTTTCAGATATTGGCAAGGGTCGGTACTGTTGCTTATAAGCTTCAATTGCCAGATGACAGTACTATCCATCCAGTTTTCCATGTTTCCCAGCTCAAGGTTGCACATGGATTTAAGCATCAAGTTCAATCTCGGCTGCCCAAATTCCTGAAATCAACTGTCTATCCTCTTCAGATTCTGGACCAGCGATTGATCAGGAAAGGTAATCGCACTGTTTCTCAAGTTCTTGTATATTGGTCTGATTCTGTTGCAGAGGATGCCACCTGGGAGGATCGGGAAGATCTTCAGCAGCGTTTTCCAATGGCACTGGCTTGGGGGCAAGCCACTTTTCAAGGGGAGGGGGTTGTCAAGATCTTTCCTGATGGAGAACAGGAGAACAATACAGCAGAACTGGAGATAGCAGCAGAGCAGGAGATAGAAGAGACTTCAATCGCTACAGCAAAGAAGCCCATTCGAGCTCGTGTTCCTAACCCTCGCTATAGTGGGCCAATGTGGGCCAAGTAACATCTTTCTTGTAATAGGGAAAGAATTCGCCAGCTGTAATACTGTTGGCTGTAAGAGAGAGAGAGAGAGAGAAGGGATACGGTATAAAACACTCAATGTATCCGTGACTCGAATCATCGATGAATTGAATTGGTGGCGGCTTGGCGGCGGCGGCGGCGCTCGATCCGGTTGGGTCGAGTCGACGATAACCTATCTGTTCTTGTGATCTGTGAGAGGAGTTGACACTTTCCCTTGCTCGTGTCGCCATGTAGGCTGTTGAGTTGGATCCTGTGTCGAAGGCATTAATCTCTGATTTTTTTTTTTCACACACTCCTGGAAATTACTTATTGGCTTAGATCGCTGACTGTTATTCATTATCCTTTCTCATCAAACTTCACTAGATGCGTATGAGCAAGGAGCACAACTACTACGAGGGGGAGGACATGATCAGTAGCTTACCTGATGATATATACTCGCCCTGATCCTCGACAAGCTAGATCCACACACAACAATAATCGCAACTATCATTTCGAAGAGATGGAAAAATCTTCCTCGGCGCTCCATGACATGCTATGACCTCACCGTTGATGATTTCCTCCCTCCACGCTACCATAGGGTGAAGCGAATGTGGAAAGAGGCCAAGGCGACGTTTGCGGCGGAGAAGGATGCCCTGAAGCTGGCCAGCAAGGGCCCTATGGATCAGAGGCTGGCTGACATTTACACCACGGAGGACCACAATGATCGGCGGATTAGGATAATCAGTGTACTCGAAGCTATTCTGGAACGCTACAAACGTCAGGCAATGCGTTCCTATGTCAAGCGGGTGAATGCGTTTCTTCTACCTCCCGATGGCGTGCACCGGACTATCCAAAAGCTAAGGCTTCATACCTTTGGCAGAGGGTGGAGTGTATTCATTCAGAGATGGATTATCGCCACGATCGGCAGGTGGGGAGTCAAAGATTTTGAGCTCGACGTTGAAGAACCCGGCGTCAGCCTTAACTTTCGCAAGATACTGGATGGATCCCAGAATGTGCAGCTGGAACGGCTAGTGCTGTCCAATTGGTATATTTACTTCCTTGGCGTTTCGGAGGCTCACCAAACTCTCCTTGGGTAAAAGATCATTTCTTGGAGCGGCTGTTAGTATTTTGAGAAACTGTGTGCATCTAGTGGACTTTAGTATCAGATATGATCCAGTATTTGACTGTCCTCTTCGTTTCAATGTGCCAACATCTAGATTAAAGAATTTGCTGGTGGACAACTGCAAATTTGGGAAAATCTATCTGGATGTGCTCCCTTGTCTTGAAACTTTTGTTTGCCGGGGCCAGCAGCCAACCAAACTGTACTATGGTGAGGTGCCTCAGCTTAGGCATGTGAGTTTGGACTACTTGTAAACCGCAGGCAACAACATTGGCCCCTCTGTTAGCCACACAACATATCCATGGAGCAAATTCGTCAAGAGGATGCCGCCTGTAGAGAGCCTCGTTCTGCAGTTCAAAGGGCCTGAGGTGAGCGATCTATATATATTCTTGAAATGTGCTAACAGTATATTTGGCCTCTCGTCTCTAAGTGAAATTGCGTTGCCTTTTCTTGTGTGCAGGTGTGGATTGAGCCAATGGCTCTACCCAGCCCGTTGAGTCATCTCAGAAAGCTATTCATTGCAAACGTGCCAATGATTTGGGATATATTCTGGATTGTCGCCCTCCTTGACGCCGCCCCTGTCCTGGAGTCATGCCATGTTCATGTATGCAGTTTATTGATCATATATACATCACAAACGTGTCTTTATTCTCCTATTATACACTTCCATTTCTTCTTGATTACATCTGTACCAACAATTTCGAAATCTGAATGCAGATTGACAACACGTCGGAAAAGATGGCTTCTTGGGTAGACGTGCAAGCACAAGAGCGTCAGTACCATTGCCTGAATGAGCTGGTGGGGTGGCAAATCGGGTTTGTTAAGCATGTCGTGAAGGCGTCGCCATGGCTGAGACGGGTGCACCTGCTCGACGGGCACGTCGTTGAAGACGACGAGCAGGTACCTGGGGGCTTGGAGGTAGTCCCACATCGGCGGGAGTGGCACGAGTGTGAGAGGTCAGAGGTGCTCGATGACCTCTGGGATGGGATTAGCTCGCCCCAACTCGAAATAATTCTGAACTGATTAACTGAGCCACAGGGTATGCATAACAGTGTAGTATAAAATGATGTTTGACCTGTAAATGAACTTGTGTGTTATTTGTTCATGCTGCTGCGTCTTTGCCCTTGCTCATTTTTGTTGTCGCTGAGCGGAGGGTGATTGAGACGAATGCAGATATAGCAGACGAAGCAACCTGCATTTTTCTGTGTTTTTCTTGAAAGTTGAAGTTGCAAAGAGTAGGGTGGGGAACTGAAGAATGCTATGGCAATCTGGAGTTCAGATTTGTTCTGGTTGGTTACTGAACTCTGTGCTCTTCCATGTTGGGTGGTTCTTCCGTGCGTAATTTAGACCATGTACAAAACTTAAAGACCTTACGATTGAATTTAAGATGAGAAATGCTTAGAGATCTTTCGGCTAGTTCCACATGGTGATGGGCTAGACGATCTGGGTTCGTAGCCTCACCCCTTCTAATTAGTATTTGATATTAGACACTTTCTTAATATTCGCGTCTTTTTTGATTGAATTTAAGACGGAGTATGAATCAAAAGTTCTAGCTACATTTTTATACAACTGCAAGATCACAAAGTTTAGATTTGTTTTTTTTCAATCATTTTGTCCCATTCGGTCGCCGATTTTCTGTTCTTTTTTTCTCCAAAAGAAACTAAGTTCATCTTGTCAGATTAACACGTTTGCCATACAAATCGATTGGATTCGGTTTGCGATTTTGCATTATTTCTCCAACCTTAGACACTTGCATCTTAGATTATTAGGGAGAAGGCTGGATATATGTAAGGGAACTTCTGGAATGTCTTGTTTGGGGGAGCTTCTAGCTGCTGCAGCTTCTCCTAGAATCAACAGCTCTCTCAAACAGTCCGGCTTAATTTTAGTCTAGATTCTAACAAGCAGTTGTAGAATTCAGAAAATGAACTAAACGAAGCTGAGAAACCTAGTTTTTCTAGATTCTTATAAGCTGGCTTTAGGTAAACATATGCATGCGGGCAGCCCGTGTCCTGCAACTTCCAGCACGCCGGCATAAACTCTTCCGTGCATATATGCAGGTACAAACCCTCAGATCCGCCGCCGCCGCCCGCTCGCTCGGTCAGCCACTGACGATCAGATCAGATGGCTTCAGAGGAGACAAGTGCACGATGCTACCGCCGTCTCAAGAAGCCTACGACGTCTGCACAGTCACCGGCGCCTCCTCCTCCAAGCGGGTACAGAAAAAATAGGGTTTCACTTTTACTGTAGAAACTTTTTAGTCCCTCATTTTCGGGAAACTATTCTAATCTCTCGAGGAGATGTTTCCTCGTTTGTTTAACAACCATCTAAACGGTTATGAAAAATTTTAGAAAAATTTGACAACATTCATACAACACATATATATAACTCCACAAAATCTTAAGTCCAAACTCAACTCACACGTCGAGATATAAAAAAGACAAATTCAGCGTATGAATAGTAGCGTACTGTTTATATCTAAATTTGTCTTTTTTGTTTCTCGATGTGTAGATCGAATTTGAACATGAATTTTGGTGGATTAGTAGGCATCATTATACTCTATATTGTCAATTTTTTTCAGAATTTTTCACAACTATTTGCATCGAATTTGAAAGATATACGAGGGGATATCCCCTCGAGGGATTAGAATCCACTCCCCTCATTTTCTGCAAGAACTCACGTTAATTACCGTAATCTTGTTGGTTCCATCTTCTTCTTCCCTAGATGCGTATGAGCCAAGATCAGCACAACATTGACGAGGACATGATCAGCAGCTTACCTGACGGCATACTCCTCCTGATCCTCGACAGGCTAGACGCGCGATCGACGATAGCCACCACCATCCTCTCGAAGCGATGGCTTCGTCTCCCTCGGCGCTCCCACACGTGCTACGACCTCGCCGTCGACGACATCCTCCCCCCCACGCTACCACCGGGTGAGGCGCGCGGCTGTGGACGGAGGGCAGCGCGGCGTACGAGGCGGAGAAGGCGGCGTACCTGGCGGCGAGGAGGAGCGCCACGGAGGAGACGAAGGAGAGGATGCAGCAGTGGACGAGGAGGACCCGCCCGCTCTTGGAAAGTATCATGCGACGCTACGAGCGCTGCGCGAAGCGCTGCGCGATGCGCCGCTACGTCAAGCGGGTGGACGCGTTCCTTCTGCCGCCTCCCGACGACGGCGTCCGCAGAACTATCCGAAAGCTAAGGCTTCAGACCCGTAGCGGCAGTGGCAGGTGGAGCGAGTGCATCCAGCGATGGGTCACCGCGGCGATCGGCAGGTGGGGAGCCGAGGATCTCGAGCTCGACGTCGAAGAGCACCGCGTCGACTATGACTTCCGTGTGCTGGATGAATGCCAGAGCATGCGGCTAAAGCGGCTCGTGCTGATCAACTGCAAGCCGATTGGTATATTTGATTGCTTGATGCTTCGGTGGCTCACCAAGCTCGAGTTGTGCAAAGCTTCGTATTATGGAGGGGCTAGTCGTATTCTGTCAAACTGTGTGTCTCTGGTGGACTTCAGTATCAGACATTGCCGAAGCTCCCAGCCTATTCTTCAGTTCAGTGTGCCAGATTCTGGGTTTAAGAAGTTGCTGGTTGACAACTGCGAATTTGTGGAAATCTATCTGGATTCGCTGCCTTGGCTTGAAACTTTTGCTTGCCGGGGCGTGCAGCCTACCGAGGTGTACTATGGCGAGGTGCCTCGACTTAGGCATGTCAGTTTGGACTACTTAAAAACCAAGGTTGAGCCTTCTGCAGTTAGCAACACAACATATCGACTCAGCAAATTCGTCATGAGTATGCCATCGATAGAGAGCCTCGTTCTACAGTTCAAAGGGCCGGAGGTGGGCAAATCATATGTTCCTGAAATGAAAAATATAAGTGTAGTAATGGGCTCTTGTCTCTAAGTGAAAATTGTGTTTCTTTTTCTTGTGTGCAGGTTTGGATTGAGCCAATAGCTTTACCCAGCCCGTTGCTTCATCTCAAGAAGCTATTCATTGCAAATGTGCCAATGAATTGGGATATATTCTGGATTGTCCTCCTGCTTGATGCTGCGCCTGCCCTGGAGCCATGCCATGTTCACGTATGCAAATTTATTGATC